TAATGAATAAATTAATGAATTAAATAATAATAAGATGAAATAATAATTTAAACATAATAATATTATAAATTTAATGACCTTTATTAATAATATCTTATTTATTATTATACATTTTTTATATTATGATTCCAGATCTTATTCTAGCTAATCACATCATAAATACACTCTTGTTACCTATCTTTAACTTCATTATAATCATAGTCTAATGTCTATTATATTATATTTATGATTATATTAATCTCTTTCATCTATAATTTATAATATTTTTATTATATCTTATCTTGATCAAATATTATATATAAAGTTATTAATCTATTATGAAATAATCTTTTTAAAAGGTACCAAAAATGGTAACAATATAAATACTCACTTTTTTTCTCTTATCTTTTTTTTATTCTTTCATATTTTTACTTTTATCTATTATTTTTACTTTTATTTTTCATATCTTTTTGATTTCTTTTATATTTTTTACTTTTATTATTTTATCATATCTTAATTATCTACTTGAATTATTCCTCAAGTTATTAAATCACTTGAAGAGATATATCAAAAGATTCTTGCCCAATAATCTTTTGATATAATTATCTTCTTAATTTTTAAATTACTTACTTGTGATAATATAGAATAAGAAATACATATTTCTCTTTTAAATTTACTTATGCAATCTGAATTTACTAAAGATATTGAAATTAATAATACTTTTCTCTTGAAACTCCAAATAATAGTTAAATTAATTGAAATATCTAATAAAATAGTTAATATGAATACTAACCTAGATTTTAACTAATTAAATATATTTATTATTACTTTACTAAAGAAAGAATTTGAAGTTAATAAAAAAGAAAATATTAAAGAAGAAGAATTAGAATTTGTAAATTCTGATAATTCAACTACTTCTGAAGAAAAATTTGAATTATCTATTATTATATCTAATAAAATTAACTTATTCAGACTTGATATAAAATATCTCTGATAATAATAAATAATTATTTTTGATATATAAAAATTCTTTCAATAATTAATGATGATAATAATAATGATGATGATAATAATAATGATAATGATAATAATAATGATAATAATAATAATAATAATAATAATAATAATAATAATAATAATGATAATAATGATAGTGATAATAGTAATAACTTGATAAAGAAGTTACAAATTAATATTAAAGCATTTCATTTGTCAAATAAAATAAATATTAGAGAATATATTAACTATCCAGAAGAAAAAAATATTAAAGAACTACTAATTAATTAAAAACTTATAGATCTAATTATATATTAAGAAAATGAAAATGAGAAAGAGATAGAGAAAAATGATAGTATAGAATAGAGAAAAATTGTTTACAAGAAGATGTAAGAGACTATAAATTTAGTTATGTAATATCTTGCATGACAAGATCTTAATAATACTGTCAAGTTTGATAATATATTATTAAGATTATATAAAGAAATAAAAAAAACTTCAAAAAGTCTCTTTTAAATAAGTTAAAATTGAAAATTTTTTGTAATATGTCTCATTATTTATAAATTATATTTATTAATATAATTGATTATATATATAAGTCACATGAAATAATATAATTAACTATTTTTTAATTATATATCTCTCACTAAATACATGCTCTAAACTCAGCCTGATGATATATATTTAGGGAGATCTGACTATATATCATATATTTTCAAATATAAGTAATCAAAAAATACAAGATTTTAATAAGACAAAGAGGAAGATTGCTTATATTCAAATATAAATTTATTATGTTTTATATATAATATTTTCAGAATCTCAGGTCTTAAAAGAGGTGATTACTTATATTTGAGGGTTGCTTATATTTAGAAATATATGATACTTAAATTATATTAAAAAAGAATAATTAAAATCAAATCTTAATAATTATATCATTTTTTTATAATTACATTTTTTGAGCTTTTCAATTATTAATTAATATACTTCACTATAATCATATTTCTCAATTTTGATTTTTTCAAGTGTAATAATTATAAAGAAATTGACTATAAAAATTATATAATAAATAATAAAAAATAAAATAGAGAATTGAACAAAGAGATTAAATTATCAGTAATAAAGTAAAAAAATCACTTTAACATTATAATGATAGTAATAAATAAAATAACTTTCACTTTTGTTCAATATTATACAGATTACATGTATCAAGAACATGTTATCAATGTTTTGATATTTATCATACTTACATATTACATATTTGGATCTCGAACTACTCACCATCCGAAATGGATACCAGCAAGTTAAGTATACACATACACAAAATATTAAATATATAATAGTAACGGTAATACATGCAGTAAAACAAGACTATCCTATTGCAAAAAATAAAAAATAATAACAATAAAATAATGTTTTAACAATAATGTAATAATATAAAAATTTTAATTTATGAATCAATCCAGATATAATTTTTCGTCTATTCCTCATTAGAAAATGTTGTGCGATAAACTTTACCATTGGTTTTGTTCTTTGCTGTTACGACAGTAGCTTCCATAGATGCGAAACACAATGATATCAGCACAGGGCGATTAGTTCCTAAATGAATGTCAGGCAAATCAATTGTGAAACTACCCAATTTTTTCATTCCTGGTTCATCACAATACTTCGCATTATTTGCGCTAGTATAATAAAAGCTTAATTCCATGCTGTCTTGTTCTGGATAAACTGGTATAAATGTAGCACTAAACTCTTTGTTTACATCCACCTCTGTTCCTTTGCTGGCCATCAAATAAAACTTTGCAACAAGACCTTCTGCTGTCTTGCGGGGCGATGGATCACCAGATTTCTAATATTAAAAAAAATAAGTTATTAGTTTGGCTAATATATTGTTTTAATATTGAATGATTATACTTACCCATTTAGGAAAAACGTCAGTGCCATATGTCCATTTTAATACTCTTGTGCTTACAGTTTTCATATCAAGACCGTATTCACATGCACCTTTTTCAATTGCAGCTGCTGGACTAGGTGGAACTGTAAGAAACAAAATGTTTGTTATTAATTCTTTCTTTCATTCAAAAAAGAGTGAGGATCAGAACGTACTTGCTATTGTCAGTCTACTTTCATATCCTTCCTTAATTTTAAATTGAAGATATCTTGACTCACTAAAACCTCCAACCAAGAACATCACTGAACAGTCCGAACATTTTGACAACTGCATATCAATCAATCTGAAAATTTTTCTAAGCACTGGATCAAAAAATGATTTCACGGTATCAAAATCCAAATCAATAATCCATTCATCTTCATCTGACAATTGTTCTCTTTCCGGCGAATTGACGTATTGCATAAGTGCTGGACATTTTTTCTGAATGTCCAACTCAATAGTTTTAAATTTGGATTTTTCACCAGCGAATGGAATCTTAACTTCGGGACAAAAGTATTTATGCACCAGATAATTAACCTGGCCACGATGTTTCTTCTTTAACATGTTCATTGCGGATTTGCCTACTCTACCCTCTAAAAATTTCAGGAACTCATCATCAACGTAGGTACCACCACAATAATCACCGGAACGCTCAGTTGTTTCTGCTATTCGATCGTCTGATAGTAATTTTCTAACTGTTAAGTCTACAGTCCCTCCACCACAATCAACAACCAAATATGTTGCTAAGTTTCATATAATAATAATGTTATTTGCAAAATTATGAATAAAGTGAACCAAAAAAAAGTTCAGTAATATATTACCTCCAGTTTTTAAATTGAGTTCTTTCAACCTATTCATACAATGAATTGCAGCGGCTTCCGCTAAAAAATTAGAACAAGTATATTAGACAAACTATATATCGTGACAATGATGAATTTAGTACTTGAAAATATCTCTTACGTTCAGTAGTAAATTGAAGATTTAGTGTGCCAATAGATTTGACTAAGCCGGCGTTGTATATACATTTTCTCATAATTGTCTTAGATTTCTCATCGAATTCTAAGATAATAATTTTAAATTAGCTTACTGTTGTGTATGTTAAATATATATACATATATATGCATTGTAAATATGACAACTAGTTACCGGCAGGTACGGTGAAAACAAGTCGTACATGCTTGTAAAAATCAATTCCAGGCCAATGATTTTCTATTTTTTCTTTCATTGTCTATCATATAACACAAAAAAAAGAAATTAGTTCGCTTAAAAAACATATAACAGTAACTTTTATAATCATATCATACCTTTCCTAAAAAAAGATCAGTAATTTTCAAAACATTCTTTTAACATAAAAGTCATAAAATGATCAGATCATTAACAAAATCATGAATAATTACCCATTTGACCAAGATAATCAGTTATCGCTTTTTCGAAAGTAATTCCAGATGGTAGTTGAGGTTTTTTACTTTCCGGAACATCCCCTAAATAAAATTTGAAAGCCTCTACTGTTTTTGATGAATTGTTAGCTCTTCTTCTGCTAGGTTCAGAACCTAAAGCATCAACCCCCCAAGTAAGAACTTCTCCATATTCGTTGTATTGTAACACAGTGTTGGTTTTATTAGGACTCTTAAAATGCCCCCACTCTTCATTTACTATAACCTCTGTCTTCGTCTTATTTTTTTGAATGAAAGCGTATGCAAATCCCTATTGAAGAAAAGAGACTAGGTATCATTAATTAAGTGAAAGAAATTAGAATAGTGCATGGGATTAGAAGTTTACCGAAAATGTTGTGCCAAAATCTTTCAAAGATCATATGAAAAATAAAGGTTCATTAGAAAAACGAATATAAATTATCTTCGGCTTATATACTCACCTACTCCAACAGCAACACGTAAATCCTCTACTTTAGCTTGAAAATACTGAATTTCCATATTTTTTTGTGGATTAAAAATGTATGTTACATTCTTTTATATTATTATTATATGTTACATTTGTTCTGTTTCCATTTCGGGTTATTCAAAACTTCGGGAGATAATTAAATCACCATTCAGACGGAAAAGTAAATACGATACGTGATTTATAGTGTTCCGGCGCACTACCGATACATTCATCCGAAGTCTCGATTATATTTGATTGTTTACAATAAGATTGACACATCGGATTGTTCAATAATTTAAACAAAGAAAATATATGTACAAAGAAATATGTATGCATATCGTTACCTTTAATTAACAAATTTTGCATTAGCAATCGTGTACTAAGTGTCAACAATTTATTATTGAGGCCAAGGCCAGTTTCTTATATAAAACAACAATGTCAGAAGGTCATACATCCTATGAAGATAATAACGTTAATATTACCAAAGAACAATTTACAGAATATCAGAACCTTATAAATTATATCGTTGAACAAGATCTTTTAAATGAAGAACTACTACTCCAGTCAGAGCAACTAGAGTTACTCTCAAACAACGATAATTTGGAACAAGTCTTGCAAAATCTGCAAATACTCGTAAAAGATCGACAAAAACTCTTAAAAGCACAGCATGTATTCTTACAAGAACTCTCACAGGAACAGCAAGCATCCTTACGAGAACAGGTAAACATAATGCAAGAAGAGTTATCACAAGAACAGTTAGTATTTCTGCAAGAAAACTGCCTAAAACAGCAAGAAGAACTTTTACAGCAAGATACATTCTTACAAAGAAATAATGGATTACAAGCATTCTTAGAACAACAGCATATACAAACAGAAAACCAAGGAAAATTACTCTCACGAAAACAACAAGTGTTCTTACAAAAACAAGAACTGTTACTACAGAAGCAGCGAAAAAGCATAAAACGCCTTGTTTATGAAATCGATTCTATAATTACTAATAAGAATGTTTACGTTGAGTATATTTTACACAACCTATCGCCGAATAATAGTCTAAAAACTAATGTGAAAGATGAAATTAATAATAATATGGAAACAATTCAAAATAAATCTACATGGATTAATAATACATTGGGAATGTTTGGATTATCTGATAATAAGCTTCACGAACTTAAATCACAAAATCAAGTACTTAAAAAACAAAATCACGAACTTCAATCACAAACTCATCAACTACAATCACAAAATCAACAATTGCAATCGCAAATTCATCAACTGCAATTACAAAATCATCAATGGCAATCACAAAACGATATTCTTCAAAGAAAGTTAGAGGAAAGAAGGCAGCAAATTAAAGAATTGATAAAATCTAACGAGGACTTCAAGAGAGAAACCACCGAGTATCAATTAGCTTTGGGCGATGCAACTAATTTTCACTTAGGGAGCCAAGATTATAATAATGCTGGCCAATTATCAAAAGACATTCATACTTTACATGATAATTTAGAGAAGTTTTGTGGATTGAAAAAGGGCGTTGACGTTAAAGAAATGGAAGTAAAAGATTTCTTAGAAAGATTTGGTCATTCAATTGCCGGCAATATACGTAAAGGTAATAATAAAATTTTGATTGCGGCCTTATTAGAACGGCACGTGCTAGAAGAGCTCATCATTAAAAAAGTCGGAGAATACTTCGATGCTCAAGAGAACAATATAAATAGTGAACAAGATGATAAAGAACAACAACAAAGTTTGGAAATAAAAATAGTTAATGCAACTGAGCAATTAATTAAATTGTTAAATTCAATTTCGACAAAACGCGCTGGAACTGATAAAATTAGCAAAGCTGTTTCAACAAAATTACGTCAACAAATTTATGGTGTTCTTGGAGAACGCGGATTTTCCAATATTGTTATCAACGAAGAAGAAAAAGAACATCCATTGATTATAAATTTACGAGCATCTATTATCGACTTCATGAACCGCTATCGTACAATTAAGGATGAAGAAAGATTATTAGAACATAAAATGTTAGTTGATGAGATCGTTAGACAGGCTGTTAGAATATTTTTTTTCCGACTAAAAGTTCAAGAACCCACCGCCCATTGGAAATTTTTTGAAAAAGACACACGAGTCAATACTATAATGATGGATGCATCTTGGGACGAAAATGAACTTAACGATTTATGTGTTGATGTTTGTGCATTTCCGATAATTGGATCTAATCTTTGTGACGCTGAAAAAGCTGATGATAATTTGAAAGTTATCTTTCCTGCACGAATTATAACAGCTTCTGCTCATAAAAGTCATTAATCATATAATAGTAACATACTTTTCTTTTTATCTTTTTATTATATTTAAATGAATTTTTTTCCTATATGTTTAAATTCTCCATTTTCAAGTACAAACAATTTATAAATTAAATAAAATTACATGTAAATACATTTTTTTTAGGCATACATAATTTTTTTTATAATCCGCGTTAATTAGCCTTTAATCATAGTTATCATAAAAGCAGTGACATTTTGAGTCATATACCCATGTAATTTAACTATATACTCTCGTATAATATTTCGAATAATAAATTTGTTATCGAAATATAGATATCCATAGTTTATTAAAAAAAAATGTAATAAAAAACAGAATTCTTTGAATGGATCCCTTTTGAAAACTTACCAAAGTTGAATTTGTGCAAAACGCGCGGTTTTGCTTCAACTTATAAAGCACCATTGCACCGTTCATTCATCATGTTGAATCTGCGTATACAATAATCAGAGGCTTCGACAATTTGAATGTTAGTTTCCGAGCGAGCATTATATGCATCGCTTGCTTTCGTTTGCGAATCGGAATGACCCTTGATTAATATTGAAGAAAAGTTGTAATGGCCTACTATTTTTTATGTGTGATCTTTAATTACGCTAGACTTGTTTTATATTAAATCGCTTAATGAAACCATTTATTGTCCATTACTAACCCATGTATCGCATTTACTAATTTTCTTCAAGTTCTGAAAATCTCATCTCTGATTGGACAAAATCAAAATTACGTAATATCCCGGAAAAACATCTTTGTAATAATTAAATATTGCAGATAAAATGAAATTATACAAAAATCGATGTAACCTCGGATATAGATTAATAAATCTCTATGAATGATCTTTTATTATCATTATATGAAAACCAAGTCTTTCTTCTATCATTATCTACATTTAAATTAGTGACGATAAAGAAATTAAGCTTTAAAATTTAATAATTAAATTATTTTTTATATAACAAACTATATAAGATAATAGTTCAAAAGTTATTATTCGTAAAAATTTTTTTATAAAAAATATATACAGTGATCCCAGAATTATAGAATCAGAGATCAATTTTATTAATAAAACATAATAAAAAGTGAAGGTTTCTCTCTATATTAAAGTTTATAAATTTATCAATAAATTATTTTTCATAGTTATAGTCTAAATGTGTATTTTTTCAGATTTTTAGATGTTTTCTAAAAGAGTTATTCTAATTATAAAGTTATTGTGAAATTTTTTCTAATTAAAAATAAAATTAATTAGAAAAAAATTTGCAATAACTTTGTAATTAGAATAATTCTTTCAGGAAAAAATCTAAAATATAGGAAAAAATCTAAAAAATCTGAAAAAATATACAAAATCACTCTTGATATAATGAAATATTCAGATCTATATGTAAAAATTTCAAAAACTTCATTATATATTATATTAAATAAAAGTATTATATGATTTATAATAAATTATTTCTAAACTCAAGTTTATTATATTGTAATTTTAATTAAACTTTATTATATCAAAGAGTTATTATATCAAGAATATCTTTATATATTTGTAAGATTATTTTATTAATAGTTATAAACAAGATAAAATGCAATATGAACAGTTTTAATTTTATAACTTATGATTGTTTTTATTATTTAAAAGTATTCAGATCTGAAGAGAAATTACAGAACAGACAGGTCTTATTTATAATGAATACAAAAAGCAAATAAATTAATAATAATTTTATTTTTAAAATACATATGGGTTTAACAAATTAATTAACTTAATTCACATCTTCAGAGGATAACTAATCATAATTCAATAAGTAATGATAATTATAAATAATAATAAAAGAGAATGAATAAAAATATAAAGAATTATTAAAGAAAATATCTAATTAAAAATATTAATAATCTAAATTAATAATTGTAATACACATATTAATCATCTGCATAATAATATGCTAAATCTAATATATTAAATGCATAATAATTATCTGTATATTCAGTATAAAATTGATCTTAAAAATGTAATATAAAGCTAATCTATAATACAGATAGTGCAAAATAAAGATCTAAACTAAAAGAAAGATAATCCAATCAAAATTATTACATATCTCTCTACTTAAAGTACAATTTTCTCATTATATTCAAGTACATGATTTTTTAAAGATATTAATCTTCTTTATAATATTTTTCAAGTTGTCAAGAAATTTTTATATTGCATTATAGAAAGAATAACTAAGCTATTTAACAAGATATTGAGATTTGTGATAATGAATTCTTTTGTCAAAAATATTTTTTATCTCATATTCTTCTTTATTATTTGAGATAATGATTGCTGATAATTATTGATATCTGTTAAATTTATTACTGAATTATACTTTTTTAATAATGAAATATGAAATATCAGATACAATTTTATATTGTATAATAATTGTAATTTGTAAGTAATAGAAGATATTTTGATAATAATTTCAAAGAGATCTATAAACTTTAATATAAGTTTCTTGATTGTTCTTTATTTATCTACTAGAGCTTTTATATTGCAAGTAGTGAGAAAAAATTTATCTCTAAAATTGAATTCATCAAATCTTTTATATTGATTTGCATATTTATTTTACCTATCTTATACTTCAAGTAATAGATCTTTGACTGACTTTATTATGATATTTCAATATTTCATAAAGTTATGAGAGGTTATAACATTATTCTAAAGTAATAGAATATTTATTGATATATGAGATATCTATTCACAATCTAATTCAAAAGATGTGTAATCTGTTGAAGTATTTTTATTATTATTATAGATAAATTCTGCAGCTACTAAGTTTTCATTCTATCTATTCTGCTGATAGATTATATATATTCTTAACTTCTCTTCTAATATTTTGTTAAGTCTTTCTATCTGGTTATCTATTTAAGAATAAAAGTCTATTAACATAACTAGTTTTATTTCAAGTTATTCAAAAAGAGACTTCCAAAAGTGACTTGTGAATTTTGTATCTCTATCTGATATTATAACTATAGATAAGCTATATAGTTTGAAGATATTTTTAAAGAATATTATTACCATAGTAGCATAAAAATCCCTAATTCCTTAATCTTTTCATGGTTATGCAAAATCATATTTTCTTATAACTTTTACATTT